ATAGGTTCCCAAGGCTATAAATCTTTAAGGGAGCAGAAAGTCTCATTTTTCTTTCATGGAGCAGATGGGTTTGAACTGCTGACCTTGCAGTTATCATTCCAGTGCTTATCCACTAAAGTGCCACCAAGGTTCCTTATAGGAAGAACAGGAAGGGGACAATACAAAGAGTCCACTCAACTGCCTATCCCAAAAGCAAATGAGTAAAATATGTGGTAAGATAGACCCTTTACTCTTAATTTCCAACTATTTCAAAGGAGAAGTGGAGGATGTGCCATATTTTCCTAAAATTAGTACAAAGATACAAGCACATTTTATAGAGTATTTTTCTCAGTATTGGTCTGTTTTTGCTACTTGGTTCCCTCAGTTTTAAAAATTCATCTCCTTAGATTTAACATGTGCGGTACAGTGAATTACTTCATATGGCTCTTCTATGGATACTCTTTGTAATTTCCACGTAACAACTTTTTCTCCTGGTGGGTCTGAGCAGGAGACGATGGGAGAAGATGCTGATAGAATGCTGTAATTCAATTGTGAATGACTGTTAATAGGGCTAATGGTGACTGTGAAAACTTGAAATTCTAATGTGTGTATAAAATGAGCCATCTTAGAAACAGGAAGGAGGATCGCAAAACCATCAAAGAAAGAACTAGGAATGAAGCGTGGCCTTTGTCCTCCTCGGCCCAGACAGGGAGAGAAAGCTCACACTTAGCAGAGATATGGCAAAGGAAAAGCACCAACAGAAGCAAGAGGTAAGAACACCAGACAGGAGTGGGCTTCCCAAACCATGGAGCAATTTAAGCTGGAAGCTCACTGTGAAGAGGGGTGGCTCCAGATACTTAATTAGGGAGCTACCTTTACTGACACCTAGAGCTAGAGCTGAGTGAGTCCCTTTGGGTTAGATTTATAGTTGAGTGGAGTGCCCTTGTGCATTGTATCAGTATTGTTAAAAGAGTTTTATAACATTACTGGAGCATGGTAGAGGGCTTGGCCCACGGTTGAGAGGCCAACGACCAGAAAGCTGTCTGCATATGGGCACAGCTGAGGAGAGGTTGTCCTAACTGAATCAACTGAACCCTGAGCATTTCTAATGTTGAATCCTCTATAACTAACTTCTCTGTAACTGTAAGCATGATGTCTGAGGTCTGTGTGGCCACTACAATGAAATGTCAAACCCAACTGAGTAGAAAAAGTGTTGTGAAAAAAATAGTTGGTGTTAGATGTGATAGAGAAGGGAGAGGAAGCTGTCTGACCTCAGTCCACAGGAATCAGCCTTGAGCTAATGCCAAGAACGGTGATTCTCTTTACCCCTTGTGGAGCTAGAAGACATTTGATGCTGCTGCCACCACACATTTTTTTTTTACAACTTCCTTTTTTCTTTTCTCCACAGTGATACTGCTATGTTGAAAAATCACATCCTGTCACTGGCTTCCGCTGTGTCAGCCAACCAGTTCTGCCTTGCACTGCACTCAAACTGGTTTTGGGTTTGAATAGAAATCCACACGAGTAGCTCTTGGTACCGCTGCGGATACCCACTCTCTGTAAAAGCAAAATTGTATCCTTGTTGCATCTAGAGAGGTGATGTTAAGAGTGCTTCAGGTTGGTACAAATAAGTTTATTTCTCTGGCACAAATGATTTATGAAGCTTTCAGAAATTGTTATGAAACACTTCAGGCTATCAAAACATATGTCTTAACCACCTGCAAGTTCTTAGAAGGTCATTGTTTTCACTGGAGAATGCACTGTTTTCACTGAAGAATAACAGATACCAGGCTAAAAAGGTTTTAAAAATAATTTGATGTCTGGGGTACTTTCAGAGCAGAATAACTGAAAACAAAACACCTTTGTGAATCCATAAATTGTTGTTTTTGCTATTACGTGTCACCGAGTTGGGACCGGCTCAAAAAGACTCTATGCACAACAGAATGAAACACTGCCC